GGGGGGGGACCATGGAAGAGAAGCTCCAGGCGCATCAGGTGGAGATCGACCCGGATTTCGAGCCGCAGAGCCGGCCCCGCTCGTGCACCTGGCCGCTCCCGCACCCCGACTTCGCGGAGGACGACGATGGGGGATCGGCGGGGGCCCCCCCGGCTTTGGCTCCCGGCCCCGCGGACGGCCCCGAGCACGGAGGGGGGGTCCCGGGGGAGCGCAGAGCCCCCGCCGCCGCCGCGCCGCCGCCCCCCGGAGCCGACGTGGGGCAGCTCCGAAAGGCCAAAACCTCCCGACGGAACGCGTGGGGGAACCTCTCCTACGCCGACCTCATCACCAAAGCCATCGAGAGCGCCCCGGAGAAGCGGCTCACGCTCTCGCAGATCTATGACTGGATGGTGCGCTACGTCCCCTACTTTAAGGATAAAGGAGACAGCAACAGCTCCGCCGGATGGAAGGTAACCGAACCGCCGGGCCGGCCCTCACCGCGGCCGCGCGCGTCGTAGGGGAGCGGTGGGGCCGGAGCGTGGCACGGAGCTGCGCCCCGCGGGGACGGCGGCACCGCTGGAAGGACCGTGCCCGGCGTCCCCGCTGCCCACCGCCTTCCCCCCCCCCCTCCCGAGGGCACGGAGACCGCAGGGACCCCCCCGGTGCCCCCCTCGCCGCGTCCAGATGGTGCCGGGAGCGAGGAGCCGCTTTCTGCTCAGCCCTGCCGCCTCCGCTGGGATCGGTGCGTGGCGGGCTCGGGGGCTCCGGCACCTTCGTAAGCAACGCGGCCGGCATCGGTCACCCGGCTCGGCAACCGGGGGGGCTCTTTTGGGTGCAAACGGGGCCCTTTTGGGGTGGGGAAGCTGAGCTGTGTGCCACCTGCAGCGCGGAGCCGGTGGCACAGGTGGAGCTGTGCTCATAGCAGCCGTGTCCCCCTCCTACCATGGCCGTGTCTCCATCCCACGGCCGTGTCCGCCTCCCAGGGTGCCGGGAGCTGCGGGGGACCTCCCCATGCCGGGACACCCGCACGGCCTCGGGTTGCGGGGTATCCCCACGTCCCCCGCCCGCTGGGGCAGTACGGGGACACGCACCCGGTGACGTGGAGCGGTGCTGGGGGTGTCCGGCTGCGCACCAGGGCGGTCAGTGCGCTGTGAACCACCGGGTGTCCCCGGGTGTCCCCGCGGATGGCGGAGTCGCGGGGCCGTGCGCTGCGCGGTGGGCAGAGCTGCCGAGCGAGGATCGGCGCAGCCCTCGCCGTCCGTCGTGGCGGTGTCCCCGAGGGGCCGAGCCGTGCCTTCCCTGGATGCGTTGGGGACGCGGTGACACGCGGCTGTGCGCTGTGGGTGTGCGCCTCCCGCACGCGTTGGCTCCGACGCGTGGCCTCGTGGCGAGACGGGCAGAGCCGGCGGTGCCACCCGCATCCCCACGCTGTCCCCGCAGCGCCGGCCCCGCGCCGTCCCATCTCGAGGGACCCCCCTCCGTCCTGCTGTCCCCGCGCTGCCGGCGGTGCTGTTCCGCCCCCGCCCCGGTCCCCGCATGGCTTCTCCCCGCGTCCCTCCCGTCCTTTGCCCGGCGCTGCGCGGTCCCCTCGGCGGTGCTGAGCCGCTCGGAGCGGATTAAAAGCCCCCGTTCCTTCCTTCCCCCCCCCCCCCCTCGCCTCTCCCGGCCGGGAGCAGCGGTGCGGATTTCCAGCGCTTCATTACCAAGAGCGGCGCCGTCCGAGGGGGTCCCGGCTAATGGGCCCCGCGCTAATTAGCTCGGCTGCCTCCCCGAACCGGGGTTGCACGCGGTGGGGGTCGGAGGGCTCCGCCTTCCCATGGAGTATCGCGGTGGGATCCGAACGGGATGTCCCGTCCGTTGCTGCACCCGGGCCCCCAGGAGCGCCCACATCTCCTCTTGGGTGCTGGGTTCCTCCAGGGTTCTGCTTGGGGGAAACTGAGGCACAGCGCTGAACCGGCAGCGACACCCGGTGGGGCGCGGGTGCTCCGATGGGGGAGGGATGGACCTATGGGAAAGGGTGTCCCTATGGGGCAGGGATGCTCCAATGGGGCAGAGATGCTCTGATGGGATAGGGATGCTGTGATGGGGTAGGGATGCACCAATGGGGCAGGGATGTTTCTGTGGGGCAGGGATGCTCTGATGGAGCAGGAATCGATCTGTAGACAGGGATGCACTGATGGGATAGGGATGTTTCTGTTGGTCAGGGATATTCCTATGGGGCAGGGATGCTCTGGTGAGGCAGAGTTGCTCTGATGGGGCAAGGATGCTCCCATAGGGATGTTCCTATGAGGTACAGATGCTGTGATGGAGCAGGGGAGTTCCTATGGGGCAGGGATGCTGTGGTGAGGTGGGAATGTTCCTATG